ACTGTAGATATGCAAAGAGTAGGTAAATCTTAAAATTTGAATCAACACGAATGAATTTTTACACTTGAAGTCCGAGATGTACAGCAAGCATTTCTCACTTCATTTTTACAACGCATAAACAAATACTGTTTATTACTAGAATTAAAATCTACTTTTTTTACGAATCTATAACAAGCTTAAACTCTATTTTATCTACTGCTTCAAAAAGAACTATGCTTCGTCAACTGTGTGCAAAGTTATTAGCAAATGAGCAGTTCGTGAACAAAACTGTGTATGCCAAGCATGATTACAGATAAATCTGTATACGTGGCATCACTGCATGTGCGTCCAATTACCGAAAAAGGCTGAAGAAGCCGCACCGCTACTGATCGGATTCAGTAGATCTTCGTGAATCGCTGTTGGCCATCTATGCCAAGCGTTCCAACATACAGCTCGCCAGCCTCATCCGTGTTGAACACCCTAATAGCTCAGCATTACTCAACCATCACGACAAAGCGGTTTTTTTCAGGACCACCATAAATTATTGTTGATTAAGAGTTAATTTTCATGGAACGAACACTCGCCTTGCTGTCAGCCACATCACCTCCAAAGCTCTTTGATAATGTACACAGCCACCAAACGTTTGTGATCAAATACGTAACAGTATTGAAGTGGTACATAAAAATTCTCACACTGACCGAATACCACATGGCCTTGTCAATGAACCAGAAACACTGCGAATTAAAGAAATATTTTCTCCAGGACACTAGGAAAAAGCTAACAAATCCTGAATATCTCGCGAATGGACAATTTCAGCAAGAAATTCCTCCAATCAATTCTCGCTGTTTTGATTATCTATTGTGCACACGAATTGTGCACGAAAATGCGTAATCTATATATATAAAAATGAATTTCTGTCTGTCTGTCTGTCTGCCTGTTATAGACTCGGAAACTACTGAACCGATCGGCGTGAAATTTTGTATGCAGGAGTTTTTGGGGTAAGGAAAGATTCTTATGATGGTTTGAGTCCCCTCCCCTTCTTTAGGGGGGGGGACTCCCATGCAAATGAAACAGAAATTTATGCGTAACTCGAAAACTAATCAAGCAAATGGAACCAAATTTGGGATGTGGAGGTCATAGGGGTAGCCGCTTAGATAAGAGGGGGGCTACGTACAATATAGCATGTTTTTTTTTAACTGGCGCATAAACTTAAGCTAATATTGAATCCCGAGCAAGGCCGGGCACACTCAGCTAGTTTTGTCATAAAAAACGAGGCATTTCCGTTATGGAAAAAGTAGTTTCCCTTACACAGTCGCCGAATATTGATACCGAGCACGTAATCCTACGGCAAATCCACGGTTGTGTTTTGGGGTACAATAAATTTGAAAGTTGGTGGTACTGAGGCAGTTTTTAAATAGGGTTTCCATGTTTATTCACCACTACTTAACAAATTGCGAATGGTGGAATTTTTTTCAATGTTTCAGATTCATAAAACTTAGCCTTGTAAGTTGCGGTTTACCTGCAAGTCTATAGCTGGCCCGATTTACCCCGGCGGGCGGCTACGAGCAGAGTACTTCCCCCAAAGAAGTTTGGATTTTGGGCGTTAACGATAGAAAAAATGCAATTTAAGATGTCTATTGACTAATCTGACCTTCCCTTTCTCCTCGCTGATTCTCGGTGACACACGGAGGGGCCCTTTGACGACGGCGGCGGCGGTTGTTGCTTGTTCACGTGGGCTCCAGACACGGGTAGTTTGTAAAAGTCATAAGAACATCATTTGATTTCAGAGAATTATATGATTATATGATTATATGATTGCTCGTGAATATCTCGCGAATGGAAAATTTCAGCATGTAATTCCTCCAATCAATTTTCGCTTTTTTGATTATCTATTGAATGAACCAAAAATTTCGTGCGTTTTGTGCATGAAAATGCGTAATTGTGTCATAAAAAACGAGGCATTTCCGTGATGGGAAGAAGTGGTTTCTCTAACACAGTCGCCGAATATTGATACCGCGCACGTAATCCTAAGGCAAATCTACGGCTGTGTCTTGGATACAACCTCTTACTTTTTTTTTCTTGTTAAGAGCACATTGAGGAATCAAGGCAGGCCTTTGATTTCTTTTGGGCACAATAAACATGAAACCTTCATTTTTAGTGTTCTCAGGAAGTTGGTGGTACTGAGGCAGTTTCAGACAGTTGCCATGTGTTTTCAATGTTTCAGATTTATAAAACTGAGCCTTTAGTCTGAGTTCAGTGAACTTCTTAGAAGTTAAGGGTGATTTGTAAAAGTCATGAGAACATCATTTCAGAGAACTAAATGTAAAAATGGCAGCACAGTGAACAAAAAATATTCGATTAGTTATTGATCGAGTTATTGAAAATGGGACAACAAAATTTCAACTCTACCTACACCTTGCAAGGCCTTGCATACAGGGGGTATTCATTGGATGAAAGGGACCGCGAAAGAGGACCATAAATTGAAAGTTTTTTCTTAGGACTGTTTTATCTTAGCGTTCTTCTTTGGTCTTACCCCTGAGCAGAGAATATTTTTTCAAAAATATTATTATTAACATATTATTACTCAAAACTAGCTCTAATCGCGATGATAAAGAGTTATTATGAGAAATACAACAAGATCTGTACTTGTTTTGTGCTGTAACATCCAAATCCAAATAACATCTAGCGGCACACAAACGATGTTTTGGATACGATGTTTATTTTCGTGTCATTTGACAGTTCATTGTAGGTCCAATGTATCTTGAAATGTTCAAAATAATGAAAAAGTGAATCACCTGTGTTTATTTAGTTGTACAAAAACTGATGGGAAACGTGCTGAAGTGCCGGGTTGACCCACAGTTCCCGTACACATCCAAAAGTAGCAGTTGAGGCTTGGGAAGCTAGTCTATAGTTGTGTTGACCCTTTGTTATAGAATCAAGACATTTCATTGAAAGTTCGACTTTTTTTTTGGTTTTTTTGATGGATTGAAATAAACGTAAGACCCATTTGGAGAAACTAAATTTGTTTGACAATTTAGTTAATATAAAAATTTCAAAATTATTTACAAAACCTTCCGACGATCACATTACACAATCTGTTTATGCATTGCGCATTACAAAGTCTGCATGCTTTTCATGAAAATCTGTAATACAATCTCATATTTCACGGTTGGGTGCAGGTCATGCCTTATGGAATTCTTACTTTTGTTTGATTGTGCTTCTATAATAGCTATAGTCACCCCAGTATTGTGAGTCACCCACAATTATGGGCCACTTCCATTTGATTAACACACTGAACTGACTGACCCATAATATTGACTAGCTGGCCCATAATACTGGGGTGACTGTATATGACGGATTTCCCAACAAACATTGATAGCTGAATAAGAGTTTATTCAAACAAAAATATGCTTCGTCAGCTTAAAAATTGCTCATTCAGTTCAAAGCATTGTTGCCAAAAGAGACTTGCACCATAGTCGGGGTCATTGGACAGGCTGTTTCTAAAAGGAAATTAAAAACTGCTTCTAAAAATGACCATCACCAATAATTTTCCACAGCAACTATACGCGACACATGGAACCTTTTTCGTCGGAACGTCGTCAATCATTAGCGGCTGAGAAACATTCTCCGAGGACAATGTTTTCCTTTTTGTGTGTTTGCTGACAAACTCAAAGCAATACATAATTAAGTACTTAGGAGAACATTATTTATGTGGCATTCGTTACTTTTCAAGGGCCTGTCCTCGATCTTGGCGTGCTTGGTTGGATGGAGACGAAAAACGTCTGCTTACATAAAAAGAAAACACAGCATGCCATGGGCTAATTCCCAGTGCGGCGGTGAGGGTGAGGTTAGAACTCATGGCTTGAGGTTCAATTCTATTCAAATTAATCCAGTGGAAAGCGGAGGACACAAAAAAATTAGACCAACTATCGTGTGCGTCGTCTGTATGTGTGTGAGAGAGTGTATGTCAAATCATTAGATTATTCTTTTGAACGAGGGTAGGTACTTCAGGAATATTAATAACATCGAGAAACAAGAGCGAAAAGGGTGAATAGTAAATGAAGTCACAACTCGTCTAAATAGGGTCTTCTTCACACGTAGCAGGCGATGACGATGGGGCCGGTGCAACTTGATACACTGTTTGCTGCGCTCGATCGAGGGTAAGACAACGGATCGTAGTGCATATTTAATTAGAATGTAAAATTTGATATTACAGTTTATTACGATGGGGATTAGTTTCGCTTCCATTTGCACCGCGATGGGAACTGGGCTCGTATAGAATGGATTGAGAACAGGTCGTGTCATGGCGGTGCAAAATAAATTTACAAGGGTCCGATGGGATTGTTTGTATTTAACCCTTTTTCTGAGCATTGGTAGAACGAGGGGTTAAAGTTTGTTCATTTTAAACCTGCTGCTACTGAATAAATTGAATTCATGTGGAAATGGCACAAATGAGCTATCGATTGCTCCCTGATATACGATTTGCTAAAAGCATAAATAATATCAGCACTATCGCCGTCTGGCATCTAACGATCACTAGTTTTATTGTGCTAATACCAGTTTTAAGTGCTCTAAACGCCAACTTAATCACACGCAATCAGCTATCCGGCTATACGTTAATTTTACGATTTGAGAAAATTGGACAAAACAAAGAGTTGATCTTCAAGGCAATAAAACAAATTATTTTTATTTTTTTCAAAGTCAAGTTCAAGTCGTGGCGCTGGCAATAAAAGCAAAGTTAATCAGCCTATACTTTGCGACAGTGAGTGGCGTGATGATACAAACATCCATTAGCGTGACGGTATGATGTACATTCAACGATTTTAAAATGGTGCTCGACACATCAACTAACTGCATTAATAAAACGATTTCCAAATCAAGAAAGCTCTGGTTGGACGCAAACAGTGCGGTGTTAATTCCGCCATATATTTACGACACAAAATTGTACCCTGAGGTAGCTGAAAAAAACATGTCGCCTAACCACTAATTTAATACGTTTCGTTTCTTTTTCTTCCTTGCAGATCGGTCTACTAGTGAAATGACAATTTCGGCCGCGGCGCCACCAACGGCAGTATTAACCTTCTCCGGCGTCCAAGAAAAGCAACGACCAGGTTGCCATTAATTAGCACCGATCATGCTGCACCAGCAAAAGCACTGACACGCGAATGGCAGATCAGAGCAACAACATATAGACGCCCGCGGTCAGCCTCCGATGAAATCGAGAGCTTTTTAAGGAACATATTAACTAATAAATGCAATCGCTAATTAGATAGATAATAATACACCGCACAGCGGCACAGTTGCTGAAAATGCGTCGAGTGTGAAACCGAGTTCCAGAGAGCCCGAAGAAGGTGTGCTCAAGTGCCCAAAAGCCATAAGCGCGATCGAAGGAAAGAGCGTGTGTGTGTGTAATCAAATAGCTGAAAACATATAAAATACCACGAGAAGCACCAGCTCCATGATGGACAACGGCAGCATACCGGTATCGATGCTGAGGAGGCACCTGAACTCATTCATGATGGTCCTGATAGTGTTAGTTAGCTGCAGCTTAGATAGGATTGACAGTTGGACACCAGATGTCCTGACCAAGTCATACATTACATACGGTGAGTGTTTTGAAAGATCGCAGTCTCCTCCTACTGTCATGTTTTCTTCGTTTTATTACAAGCGTTCGTTTGCCCCTATACAGACCTCATTAGGAAGTGGTCGTGTGGCTTGCCGGCGTGCAACTCATCCCTACCGAGTGCGACATTTGATACCTTTACTGTCGTAATTTTATCATCCCGCACATGATCAGTGGAGTGACTTCCGATTCTGTCCTGTGGCTGAAAAAAGGATCCCATCATTGTTTAATAGCTCGGTTCGGTGATCACTTCCGTTGAATTCAGCTACCGCCTTTTATGGCTTCTATTTGCGGTACACAGCCGGCAGATTGTGTAGTTTGAAAGATTTTTTGCTTTTAACGATCTACACGAATAATCTACGCTGGGAATGTTTTCTGCAGCTATTGCGGAATGACATATCATTGAGGGTTTTAATTGGCGCAAAAATGCATCATGCACTTTCTTACTTTATTTGTTATGAGCCGCTGTTTTACGACCGTTATGACGAAATTTATGATACATCTTCAATGGCTTTACGATCCTTTTGAATGGCGTAATGCTAGCTTTTCAATCGATTTAAATTGTACATACACTGTAAGCTCTATTGCCATGAACTCTTTACCGGGGAGCTTAGATAGGGCGCCATTCAAACGCCATTGAATTTACTTCGGCCTAGCGCTTCTTTTGTTTTTGAGAAAAAATGATGTAAACATTCATATCACGCGTTCTCATTGACTTCGTTCGGTAGCTTTTGAACTAAAGAATCGTACCAAACGCATAATTGACTTGTTAACTCTGAAACAATGGATTTATTTGATGTATTCTGCTCGATAGGCCCACAAATGGACGATTAGGCCAAAGACGTGGTCTACCCTACATGCAATTTGAAATTACTCGCCTCAGGATCAATATCCGCCAATTTGGTAGCACGAGTTATGAATAGAATTCTTGGATAACCTTAATTTCTCTACGGTATACGGTTCCGGTACCACTTATAGGCCACTTAAAGGCCCCGGGTCACATCCCAAGTAACAATGCAGTAACCATTTGGCATCCACTCTGATTTATGATGGTTTTAAAACGGCAATAAACAATCCATTTAGCTTAAATACAGCATTTCAAAGTGTAAAACATTCCTGGTTTTTGCTATTTTAAAAACCTTTTATAGTCTGTCAAGAAAGTCAAAAACTGTCTTGTTTTAAAAATCAATTTAAAATAGTTCTCAATCCCTCCTTAAAACTGTTCTGTAATTCAAGCATAAACGTCATAAGCAATTGTTTATTAATGTCTTGATAAAATATTTTATAAACGTGTTCTAGCATTATAAAAGCAGCCATAAAACCATTAGGTTTTGCATTAGGACAAAAAGCATTTATTGTTGCTTTTTAGGCTTTTTAAAGTACATCATAAACTCACCAATCACTCTGTTTACCAATTTAAGCTTAAAAGATGGTTCCTGATAGTTAATAAAATCCAAATTTATGACAAGGAAATCTCGAAGCATAGACGAAGTAGGATGAAAGATTCAAGTCGATTTCAGCTAAATTTACTTCTTTAGAAGAACCAGCACACCATCAACGACTGTCAATCTGGCGGAGAAGAGTAAAGTGAGGGTAGCCTTCTCCAGATCTTGTGAATAGATGATAATCGAAATAACAACCGACAGCAATCCACTGAAACTGTTAGTTAGCGAAGATTAGCTGGTTTCCGATCAATAGCAGCGATTTTATTCGGCGAAAGAATCAACTCTTCGGAAATTTCATTCAAGAGTACATCCCTGCATCGTTGGATGGTGCACTTCTGTAACCATCCGGAAGAAGGGGACGATTGCGCTTCCAGCTGTTCGAAATGCGAAATGTTGTAAAACAGTATCGCAAACTATATGAGTAACTGCTCACAATCCATCGGGAGAAAACCGCCTGGAAGAACCCTGGATCCCACAGCGCAACTATCGAAAGATAAACAAACTTTGACGTTGAACTTTTTGCAGGCAACTTTGCCTCCATAAAAGCTATCATAAATATGAACGGGTTAGGATCAAGCAAAACGGCTTTAGATAAATGCAATTCAGCCTGCAAGTTTTCTTCATAAAAACCATTTTAAAACCTTATGAATTTGTTAAGGATTTCTTGAAAGCAAAACAACTTTTTCACAAATGACCCATGAAAATCAATTTTTATGCCATGTTCCAATTAGTTTGCTTGTTTTTTTACAACCTTCGATTTTCAATCTATATTTCCTTAGATATAACTATATTTTGGTAAATTTAACAATGAGTTAACATTTAAATGCAAAAATTTCCCGGTCAAGCTCGATCTGAAGTTTTTTTTTTCAATGTAAAATAATTAGTAAAATCGACGTTTTACGAGGGCGGACTTATTTTTTTCGATGTTTTCACGTACATTTCACATAACATTTTATAAGGCACTTAAAACTAGGCCACTTAAGGGGGTAGTACACTTTGAACGTCCAAAAAGTAAGGCATTTTCGTTAAATTTTTTAAGCAATAAAACACTCGGGAGGGCAAATATGTTATAACCCATTTATTAGTCATCCTTCGAACTACAATTTGTATTTTTTTTGAACTCGATTGGCTCGTCTCCGTGGCCGGTGCACCAGGTCGCGCGGAAGTCGGAAAACGGCGTGGGAAAATACTCCTTTCCACGTGATCCTGGAACATAAATCGAACAAAAATCCTGATTAGTAATGAAATTTGGGTTAGAAATACGTATTCCGATTTTTTTTAAATTATTTTTTTCAAAAGTTGTGGCCTTAGGAAAAAAAAGTCCATTTTTCACCCTAAAAATGCTTACAAAATCGTGGATTAAAAATCGAAAAAGTGGATACGTATTTCTAAGCAGAATTTAATTCTGAACAAGAAAACCTAGGCAATATCCAAATTTGATGATAACTGGTTAGAGTTATTTCCCACGCCAGTTTGAAAAACCCCGTTTCGAGATAAACGCGTTTAAAGATAAAGATGCTCTCTCAGCGCGCCGGTACATGTTTTAGAAAATCGCTTCGTAAAGCGGTAAGGAATATTCTGGTGGACTTGGAGTCTTTTCTTAATTAAAATATACATCCCAAGGAACATTTTAAGCCAAAAAAAAATGCATTTTTTTGAAAAATCAAAGTGTACTCCCCCCTTAATGAGAACTATTGTAATAAATTTGGATATTCAACAAGATTTTCAGTTTCTATTTTAATTATTTTGATAAGCTCGGATTCATAAATCCTTTTCTCTCTTGATTGATGCTTTCCTAGTGGATTTAGCAAGCGGCTAGGGGAAATGGCTCGGAAAGGGTTCTCAATGCGTTCGTCATAAAACCTTTTGCAGTAAATCAATCTTGAAGAGCTTCGAGAATACACCCTTCAGAACCTTCTCCAACGTGGGCCAACTAGACATATTCTAGTCTTAATGAGGTTTTGGTGGACGCATTAATGACAAAATAGCCTTGACCAGGGTTTTATAAATTTTGTTTAATAATTGCTTTGTAGCTTATTCGATCCATGAGGCCGGTAAAGCACTCCTCGTATGTTCTCACTTGGACTTGGACATTATTCATGTATAATGCAAATAATAACTCGGCTCTGTAAAGTTTATTCAATTGAGCCTGTACAAATAAATTAATATAAAAAAAAATAAAATTGCTTTGTAGTATTTCATAAAACTTAAAATGTTACTTGGGATGCCAACTATGTTTAGTGTCCTTACCCAAGTAACATTGCAAGTTTTATCGAGTTTTTAAAGCATTCTACAGGTCTAATTTGCGGTCTACAAAACTCTTATAAAACCAAAATTGTTACTTGGGCATTATTTAACGCATGATGTCATTTTAATCTCATTTCTGTTATGGAGGAATTGACCACTTTGTCAAGCAGTTTTGGCTTGACTTTCTACCAGCGATTTCACAAAACTGGACCATCTAATGTCAATGTTTTTTTTTTTATAAAACGCACAGATTTTGGCTACTTTTCTCGAGGTTCTAGAAGAAAAAATCTCAAAATAATTTTTATTTCAAAGTTCTAGTGGTATTAAACGTCATTTTAACTGCTCGAATGAAGTGGTTCAATAAAACATTACATTTTCGTATTACGTAATAAATTAATGGACCTTTGGTTGTTTGAAATCGATCTTCGCGAAGTTATTTTTCAATAATGCAAAAGCAGTTTTTTTCGTTCAAAACCAAAATTTTGTTAACGGAAATGTGTTTACTGTATTGTACTTGCTAACCGGAACACAGTAAACACATTTACATAAACAGAATTTTCGTATAATTCGAAAAAAAAAACTGCTTTTGAATTATTGAAAAATAATTTCTTCCCCTTTCGACTTAATACCATTTGACTTAGACTCTATTTCAATTCTATTCAGTGACTGAGTATAACTTTTTTGTCCTGTCTTATTCTCTCATGAAAATTTTACTCAGTTGCAGTTCAAAAGAGAGTTTACTCATTGACTGTGTAAATTTCCCTTTGAGTAAAGTTCCCGTGAGAGAAAAAGAGAGGGCATTAAAATTCTACTCACTGAGTAGAATTACGGTAAAGTGTTGTTTGAAGAGCTGCAATCTATGGCACTGTGTGTATGTGTGTGTGTGTATTCCCTCTAACCCCCACTGGCCGGCAGTGTTATTATGGAAGAACTCTCTCTACAATGTCGCATTTATGGTCATTGTAAACAGCTTTAGACCGGGAGTTAGAAGGTGATAGTTCTATTGCAGATCATGCAACCCATTTCAGAATGTCTAGAGAGTCACGCCTATTCCGAGGTTACTTTCACTCACAATAAGCCACGCATGTATGTATTACCTCTATCAATTGGATATTAGTATTACATAAACACTTCCAGGTTTGAAAATATTCTTTTCAAACCCAGCGCGTATTTAGTTTAATTTTGATGTTTAATTTATAAATAATAATAATAATAGGCTTGGTCTCACCATGTTCCGCTGGTCTGCCGCCATTGATTGCTTCTTTTGGAATCCCTTGTGCTTTTTCTCTAA